ACTGCTAAATATAGGCTTTACAAAAGACCAGAATGATTAAACAATTACGTGCAAATGCAGCGAAAGTAAAAAAGTTTTTTTTTTTTTTTTTTACTGTATGTAGGGAGACATGATGATCCAAAGCGGAGCAAACCAAAAAATGCAAGTATTTGAAGCCCAAAAGCACAAATTTGTGAAAGGGTATAATGTTCCTACCCCAAAACTGAAGAATCTTTATGATGCACTTGATATCTGTACATATTCATCTATCTAAATTTTCTTTTTTTAATTGTTATCAATTATTTAAAATACGAAATGGTTAAAAATAATAATAATAATAATAATAATAATAATAATAATAATAATAATAAAACTTGATTAGCTTATATATAAAAGTCAATGTTGGTATATTTGCGAGCAGTAAACTCCAACACCCTGTGGCTTATGTCCATGAAAGTTGGCACATCTCTGTTTTATACACCCAAAGGGTTAATGTGCTGTTAATTTTGTTGTAACTACCCTAGACGGAGTTGCAGAACAAAATTCTTTCCTTTTAACTAAATTTCTACCAGCGGCCAGCGGCACCTCTTACGAGAGAGAAAAAGAAAGAGAGCGGAAGAGTGAGAGTAAAAGAGAGCGAAAGAGAAAGAGAGACATGAAGGGCAGAACAGTCGTGTTCTGCAAGTACATTATAAACGCCAAATATCACATACAGATAACAAAAATATGCTAGAAGTATATTTTAGTGTTGTAAAAAAGTACTATGTGCAAATACTGATACTACACACAGTGATGCGAGAGACAAAAGGTCAATCTGCAGTCTTAAAAACAAATACTAATAAGACGGGTAATACAGGCAGAAGGAAGGACTGTCGCTAAACTTATTGAGGCAAATGATAAAAATGAATTTTTAACATACAAGAGAAAGAACAGCATCTTCGATATACAGCAGAACTTGACATGTAAAATTAAAAATAGAGACAATTTTATCAAGTGCATATGTATTTTAGTATTGTAACATTGAGGTTTACAGCTATGTAGACTTATTTACTTCCATAGCTCTCAGATATATGGCCTGTTAACAGCCCAGCTACTCCGTGGCATTTCAAATTGTTGACTGGTACAATGCACCCCACAACTTTACTTGCGATCACCTGGCCTGAATATCCTAGTTTTCCTGAAGGTATATGCTTGTTAAATTAAATTGTTTCTTAAAACATGGAGAAAAAATTTCTTAAGGAACTTTGTAATGGAAATGTTAAAAAAGGATACTAGGTGAGAAACAGAAAGGCAACAAGACAGAAAAACAAACAAATAGAATATTAGAAAAACTATATATTTTCTTGGAGTAAATAATGAAAATTACCTCTAAAAAAATTTATTATTGACAGTACTGAATAGATTGACAGTACTCTTACCTATTCCCACGATACAGGTCAATTTGCAAAACATCCTGAAGAACTTGACGACAGCTGTTGAGGGGCACAGAAGGGAAGAAATGGCTCACAAGATCCGGCAGTGTCATCAGCAGTTCAGAATAGATAAATGGTTTTGAGTTGATGCAAGGAACCATCTTGCCTTCCACAAGTGCTTTCTGAACCTATAATAAGAAAATTTGAAAAACAATTATTAATATCAACTGACTTAAAATTCTCAGTTTAAGAAGCATTTTTGGGGGAATTACTTGAATTCCTAGCTAGTTATAACAAACAAAAGAGAGAGAGAAGAGAGCTACCTGATATGGATTGTGATTTCCAGAAGTAGGAGTTTCATTGATCTGTATTAACTTCCGAGTAGGAGCCAAAGGATCTGCAGTACTACTGGCACTGCTACTGCTGCTGCTGCTACGACCATTTCCCACTGTTGATCGATGTGGCGATTGGGGAGGAGAAGATAAATCGATGACATCAGCATTTGAAGAGAACACATTGCTTGGATACCTTGAGGTACCATTTACAGGAATAAGTGGAGGTGGGAATTTATTACTTGGTGGTGTATGACGCTGCTGAGTTTGTGCAGTTCCCATGACAGGAGGGGAATAATGTGGGGAATGAGAAGTTGAGTGAGCATGAAGGAGAGAACTAGAATGTGGAGGAGGGGGCAACATTTGATGTGCATGGTCACTAAGACCCATTAAGTGTAAGGAACTAGCAGAAACGTTTGGCAAACTCAGGCCTGTAGAAGAGGTGTATGTGCCGGACGACCTACAAACAAACAAAAAAAATCTTATAAATCATTGTCTGCATGAACTGATGTAAAATTAACAAGGCATGATTAGATGAAAAGTAATATTATCGACTTCCTTAAGCAAAAAATACACAATAAACCCACATTTTATAAATAATTCTACACATTACACCTAAGACGAAATTTCTCCATAAAACATGCTAGAGCAGTCACTATAGTACAGGCAACTTTTCTCTCTTGATGAATCTAAAAGTCTTCAAACACGTGACATCAGTTTTTAAACATCTATATACCCATAATAAAAAAGACTAATGTCGCAACTATCTCTATAATAATATTGGTAAACAGAAATTACGAGTGGTCAATCATTAAATTTACATCATACATAATTAAGAGTTCTACATGATAGAATTAAAATTCTACATGACAATAATATTTACAAAAGAAAATCTTACCTTTTAAAATACATAAAAGAATTCTAAAAATAAAATAAAATTATCCCATAACAAGGGAGGCATAGAAACTAGTCACTTCATTTTCCTTACTCTATAAATTTATCAAGAGCACTTCTTGCTCACTTTGTGAACAAGTCGGCAAAATTGTATAAACTCTAACTAACCGTTTAAGAGTGGTAGAGGATGGATCCAGAGTTTCGTGAGTAAAATACATGTAACAAGGTCTCAAAAATAATAGCAATTGTTTGAGGTGTCAAGGAGTTAACCGTTGAACATGATAAGTTTCAATTTGATTTTTACAAAAAAATTGTTCTTATTCCCAAAACAGTATTTGTTGGAGTATGGGTTGGAAGTAATTGTACACATCATTTAAAGATTAATTTTAAAGATGAGATTTATTTAATTTCCAAGAAATATCTCGCATTAGTAATATAGAAGGGGGGCAAAATGGCAAAATAATTAAAGCAATTTCACAAATTCAGATCTTGTATTGAAAATCAGACCTGCTCCTTTTTTTCCATGTACACTTAATGTTTATAGACGGACATTCAAGAAAAAGAAAAGAAAAAAAAAAATTAAATAGTTTTTGAGAAAATAGGCACAAACCAAATGCATTTTCTGTTATAATACTCTTTTTCCTGTAGTGTTATAAATTTATCTGTACAAAGTTTACATGAAAGTGAGAGCACTAAATCATTTCCAAGCGGTAGAAACAAGAAATATATTCTCCTACTTCCTTCTTCTACCGTATGGATAGAAAACTTTTTTAATGCTCCAGAAATAACTGCTGATTTTTGACATGTTGAATGGGTCCCTGATATATTTTTCTTGCTTAGTGAACTCATAATAATACATAGTTAAATCAAAATACAAGTTATGCTGCTTTTGAATAACAATCTAGTGGTGCGGCTGAATGGCACAAACTATCTCGTGCTAGTAAGTTTTCTACTTTCTTTGGTCTCAGATAATTCTCTGGTTGCCACATCTTTATGCCAGCTATCTGTTGACACCGAAAGCAATTTTGTTGAAATTTTTTCCATTTTTACGTTTTTTAATGGTTGAATCATAATAGTATTTTACGAACATTATAGAAGAAGAAAACGACCTCGACCTTTATGGAAACACATTAAAAAACTTGGAGCAGTTTTTCAGAAAATTTCATTTACATGTTACGGTAAATACAAAACTTGAAGCTCTTTTTCTCAGAAAAAAATTTGAGTTTCCAGAAAACTTCATTGGAAGTCATGTGAAGCACTCCCAAACACAAATGTGCTAATATATAGAAATAGCTGGAAATGAGAATATTAACAGCACGAGAGTTAACAAAATAAATAAATAAATTACATTAGCATAATTTTTTAGAAAACCAAAGAATGCAGCAGAAGGTGCTTTTATGTTGTCTTAGCCATTTGTGGCCATGCAGTTTGAAACCATAGTTTCATTCTCATCTACCTAGTAGCCCACTGGTTTCGCGCTGTAACCACACTCGTGGATAGCACCATAACCTAGCAACATAATTATGATGTTCCGTTAGTTCGCGACAATGTGTGTGGTTATAAATTGTGAAGCATATGTAGGGTGTGTTATTGTGAAGAAGGGTTTCAAACCAGATTTCAAGAACTTACCTAATTATTTGTGTGTATGTTAGAACTTCTATATAGAGTGTTTTCTGAACTAAACTACATTATTTGTCGTTAGCATTATAGAAATCATTATGGTTAGGTCGTTATATTCTAAACATAAGTGGGCCTTACAATAGTGAAGCAAGTTTTGCATTGGTTTGACATTTTTGAGCAAGAATTTGTGTTGGCTGGCAAGAACAATTTCAATGAGTTTGATTTTGAAGAACGTGAGAGAAAAAGTATTTTGCAATATACCTATGACATTCCCTCAGATGCCCCTCCAATTTTCGGAAATTCAATACAAACGGTGAAAAAAAGACCTATGCTAACTTCATAAGTGTATTTATTTACTCTTTTCTTTCAAAATAATGGAGCAATTTTTGAGAACATTTTGAAAATGTTGCACAGGCTTCATGTAAAGAACCCACCCCCCCAAAAAGAAATTCAAAATCGCGTAAAAATTTCTTCTTTTTAAACAAAAATTGCTACGACTACCTAGGCGCAACGTGTCTCCAAGCCCCTTGGGGGAGTTCGAGAATTGCGCTTGGAGTAATCCTCCAATAATATCGCCGTCTCGTCGTAGTCTGTTAGTTGTCTGGAGGACCGCCACGTAGTATCTCCGCGTGCGTCACTACCCAGCGGCCGGGCTAGCAACAAGTTTTCTTGACAAACTCTGATAACCACAAGTGTTAGCTCGCGTCTAATAGCAAATAGTTTTATCCAAAAAAGCAACAGACTTCGTATAACAGTCCTGTCAATAAAACAATCAACCCTCTCTGCTCGCATCCAGCGAAATGAGGGCTCACGAAAACGTGCGGGGATAATACTGGGAAGGAAAGGGTACAAGAAAATCTCTACAATTTTCTAGACCATATTAGTAGTTTCGCGTTATTAAAATCGTGACTGTTTCAACAACAAAAAACGCGTAAACAAGATTCTTTCAAAGCGGTTACAAATTATTTCTTTAACCCTCCCCCGAATATTGCAATGTATGCTTATAAACAATTGTGCAAGTCCGACTTCTCAAAGAGAAAGAATCCAGTGAATATTCTCGAAAACTGTTGAAGTTCAAATTTCGTCGAGCCGGTTTACACCCTTGTTACCACATTGCTTTCGTCTTGTATTTAAATCTTGAGCCTAACCTGTTAAACAATTATAGACTTTCCTGATCTCATTCTGGCTAAGCTCGTGCATTTTTAAGTATTGCGCCTTGGAGATCGTTTTATTTTTCTACAAAATCCGCGAACGTAATTACAGGAGGTAAACCTCATGTCAAGTAATATTTTACATTTAAAACACAGAACCTCGCAGCGTTTCTACCAGCATTGTCCGGGTAAGCGCGCTTAAAAGTTTCTGTGAAACAAAAATTCACAAAAACCCGTTCACTTGTATTGTTAAATCGAGAGCATCACCTCGTCCTATTGCTTCTGCACGGAGCGGATAGTATGCTCATAGTAGGGCTTTTAGTTTGCATTGAAGCATCAGCACATTATTCACAATCTTTGCCAGCCCTATAATTTATGCACTGAACACCGCTACACATGCGCAAGGCGTGTGGCTCAACTGGCACGGGCCACGCGACGATTTGGTAAAAAACGGGTAATAACGCCACAGGTGACATATCGTCCTTTTATCGTCGCAAGTTTTCATCAAACTTGCTCTGTCGCCAAATAAGATATGTTTAATTTTATGTGAAGTGTGTTTTCTTTCAAATTACACTGGTCAACAGCATTTTTGCAGAAGTAATTGTAAGATTTTTCCGCAGGTGTAATTATGCAGGAACAATCGAACAAGGAAGTGTCACTGAATTCAGACGATTCACCTGTATGAAATAAAAATAATTTGGCAACATTGCTGATACGTCATGCTCGACAGATGAATCGCGTTGCCAGTTGCGTACCCTACTGAGAAATCTGACAAAATTGGAAAGCAGCTTGGATGTCACTGCTTGTTATACGTTCGTGAAGGTTTGTTCTTTATATTGATTCACAAGAAATGTCTCGTGTAAAAAGTCCTAACCCGCTATCGTCACATTAGTAGGAGGTAGTGGTTATTATCTGCGGAGAATTAAGTCTTAAAAATTGCAGAAACCGAACCTTAATTCCCTGGTAAGGGAGTGTTATGAACTTTTATTTAGGGAGTAAGATTGGCGATCTGAACAAGAAGTGGTTGCTGTGTGTTGTTTTACAATCCTGACACAGATTTCTGAGAAAGTGGAAAGGGCTCAAGAGGCTCAACTTTGCTATTTACAATTATTAGCTGATGACCGCATGACAAAACTCAGTAGATAATAAATACTTCAAAATATTGCTTAAACGTCAACTTATTAGTACGTGTCCATGTAAAATATCTCAATTGCTTTAACTTTTCTGTAATTATTAATCACATATCGCTACAAGCGTGACCACTTTTTGTACCAGTCATTCAGTTCAATAAGGCAATGTATTGTTCAGACAGGTAGTAAATAATGTAATTATGTCATTGTAAGAACTTACATATAATATATTAGTTATGTTAATTAATGTACTACTGTAAGATAATAGAATTACTCTACTTACAAGTTATTTGCCACTGTATCATAATATACTAGTTTATTAATGAATTGTTAATAAGACACTTGTGTAGTTTAAAATAATGTAAATTATTATAATGTTTAATGTAAGCACGTGCTTGTTTTAATTTAATCAAGTAAACCATTTAAATTATTACTGTAAGTTGTGTAATTGGATTTATATCCTGTTATAACTGAAATTAATTAAATATTTATTTTAAACAATTACATAAATTTTTAACATTTAATTTATTAAGTTTATATAGTTAAAAAATAGAAATTCTTACTATAATTTTAATTATAGTAAGAATTTATAAAACAAACAGGAATTGGATATCATTGATTGCTCTTATACTTAAAACTATTAATGAAAAGGACACAATTCAGACTATAATTATGGCCAGTGACTGTTGAGGATTTGAACTCTGAACAGTACATGCTGCTTTGCAAACAAAAGTATACAAATGTATTTTAAACCAAGAAATCCTCAATGTTCCCCTTTGAAGTAAAATAGACACAGAGAAGTGAAACATACACTGGTCATTTGTCATAAAACTACCAAATGTTTTACTTGGTTATGTAGTCTAATGAATTCTGGTAATATAAAGTTTGTATCTTCAGAAACACTCTGAAATAACATAGCATTGGCTCTACTAACTCCATGCATAAAAAATACTTCCAATTTTGTTTTTTAAATAAAATGTTGCATACTCTCAGGCATAAATGCTACTCCCAGGCATTTTTATAGTTTTTTGCATGCCATTAAATAGTTTTACGAACTCACCAGTCTTCCTTTCCATACGTTGGATAACTAAAAGAAACAGAAGATGATATAGCTAAACAGCCACTCTAATAACCTACCAACTACTGTTTTAGTTTCATCATTAATTTGGTTAAAAAAAAAAAAGATCATTGTGTGTGTTTATATATATATATATATATATATATATATATATATATATATATATAATATGTGAAATTTCAGTTCCAAAAATAACTTTCATATAACTACTAGATCCATACTACACTGTCTTCACTCTCTAACCTCACTTTTTTATTTTTTTAAATGGTCTTGGCAAAAACATTTTTCACCTCCATCTAAAAACACTACTTCGTACATTTAATATAAAAACAACTTTGCTTTCTACTTCAACTTTGCTGCTTTTCTTCCTACTTTTGAAACATTGCAACTAACTACTGTATTATTTATGACCTTCTGTTATCACAATATAGCCAATGTAAATAAGAAATAATGCAGGTTGATCCAAATAAACGAGTTACAATCTAACTCTTGCCGGACGAGTCCAATACAAACAATGAATTTAGTCAGATACTACAAGGAAATATTCTAGAAGTCAGCGCTCAATATTCAATCCTTTTGGATCAAAAATAAATACATTAAGTAAAAGAGAGAGAGAATAATGATTTTAACTCTCATTTATAGCAGCACTACAATACGTGTGTGCTGACGTCATCTTTCCTTTGTTATGTGTTTGTTCTTTTTAGAGAAGACACTTAATATTCCAGTTGTTCTTTAAATGTAGAAAAAATATAATCCTTTACATTTGCCACCTTTCAAGATTTTTCAGATAATTATGCCGAACTATCTTGATATCAGTATTTGGTGCTAAGAGCTTGTGTCGCTGATCATAGCGATCCACAAATTCAAAAATTGATTCTTACTACTGGGCATCTTCTGATAGGATTAAAATTTAGTGTCATAAGTTATAATTACTGTAATAATGGCTCATTTCATATCTGTTTCTAAACACAGGAAGAACCTGTGTTTAGAAACAGAAAGTGAAACCTGAGGTAAGCAGTAACTGACAGTTTCGGTAAAAATTGACAGTTTGTTGTGATATTGCATTAATTTTAACCCAAATCAAAAACATTAATGTCTTTTCAAACAGCAATGTCGGAGGGGGAGAGCAGCTGGAGCAACCTCTGAGTAACTAAGTGTCATGGGGTTTAGATCCTGGTGATTTTTTCTTCTTCCCATTTTGTGACAATCCATTGGTCAGTATAAATACACTGGCATCTCGTTTATGTTTTTCAAGGAACCTAAAATTTTGAATGTCGTGTAGGGAAAAGACGCTAACGAAAAATGCTTAATTAATACCTACTTTTCATATTTCCGTCTGCAAATTACTAATATAGACGAAAAAACACGTAAATATGTATAGTTTCTGGATAATCGTGGATACGTAAATATCACGGAAGTATCCACGTTAAGAACTAATTTATTCATAAATGACATTGAATAAAACTAAGTTACACACACCACAAAAAAAGTAATGCACTATTTCAAGACCTGTGTCACACGAGCGTTGCTTTGACGCGCGTCACAGGAGAATGACGTCAGTTGCGTCGGTGCATGCGCACAGGAGTCGCTTAAAACTAACATCGAAGATGGCGTTGCTTCGCGGGAGTCTCGCGTTTTCCGATGCACCAAGTTACCTAGACAAACTTTGAACGTGCTAAGCAAGATTGGTAATCGTGTAAACGAATAATTTGATGTAGTTGGGACCGGAACTTGAAAATAAGACCATACTAAGCGGGAAAACGTGATAACGAGGAACGTGGATACGAGATTCCACAGTAATTATTTTTACGCAATATATTAGAAGACTTTAATCAATCATTCATTGAAAAGAAAAGGTATAATCACACTTTGGCATATTCTTTCAACTCTGAAAGATGTAGATAACTTAAATTAGGAATAATAATAATAATTATTATTATTATTATTTTGTATGCTAAAAAAGAAGAGAAAATCAGTAAGCCGTCCTTACAAATGTGACAGCGCTCTAAGAGCTGCATCATACACCACCAGTCGTCAACGACCATACACAGCTTACAAAGCAGTGACTGACATTGGATGGGTACAAAAGTAACTTCTAGTCACAATGAAACCATTCGATAATAGTTATGAATGGGGGCGGATTTCGATGACCTAAAAAGTCGCGAAAAACGACCAATAAAATGCTCTTAAATTGTTTTTAAATTGCCCTAAACGCAAAGAAAAATTGCGTTAAAAATTTGATTAAAACCAGTTTGGATGAACAACTCTACCAGTTGCATACGTTACTGATATAATCAAGGCACCTTCGATTCGTTCAAGAAAAACTCAGCTTTCAAACTTTTGGTTTGGACTGTTCTTTACCTGAAAATCCCTCTTTAGTTATCCCGACATCGGCTGAAGCTCCAATGGTGCTGACAGACAACACAGAAACCCTACATTACATACTCACAATGGCTCGACATTACAATTACTGAGCGAAGAAATCGAATAGGTTACCAGGTTACTCATGAATTCTGTGGAGAATATTTGCTGCATCTCGTAAATATTATTTGAAGCAAGTACCATTAAAATTGATAAATTCAGCGAAAAACGACGGTTAAAAAACAAACAAAAACTACTACTACTACTACTACTTCTTAATAGTCTAAATTGACGAAAAATGCAACAACAAACAGCATTTTCCTAAAGTGAAGAGATAAAATGACATTTTATTCAAATCCGCCCCCTAGTTATGAATTTGCAATTTGGTACAACCATTACTTGCAAGTTCTCTCATCAGTCTTCTTTTTTCTTCTTTTCTTTTCTGGGGTGTAACTGAGACTTCTTGCTAACATCAATTCTTTAAGTGTTGCTCACAACAGAAAAAAATCTCTCTCTGGTTTTACTGATTGCACTTTAATTCTAAGTACACTTGTTGCCTTCACCTGCAGATAAGGTTGACAGTTTATAAGTTCATCTATATATGGTTTTCCAACTCATTTAATTCCTGATCTTTCAATTTGGGAAGTGAGATCACAACATGCTCACACGCTTCTACTGTGATCTGCTGTAATCACGAATCATGTCGCAAAAACACTGATGTTAAATACCAATGGAATTAAGAAAATCTCACCAGGTAAACACAGGCAGAAGCAAAACAGCATGCAACAGCGCTAGGTCTTTTCAATAATATATTACAGTTAAAGAAATAAGAAACAACTAGTTGAGATTAAAATTATAAACAAATCAAAGAATAATTTAAAATGCTAAATTTTCATCAAAGTAACTCAGTAACCCACTCAATAGTCAACAAAACAGATCTCTAACAATATTAATAAATTCATGAATGGTATGGATGGTGGATGATACACGAGATGAGCGAAAAGGTGTATCAATGTATGTTCCATAAGTCAACAATGTTCAAATGCATAAAAGTCAAAACAAAAATAAGTTTGAGCTAGTTTAACAAAATGTGTGCATACATTATTAATTGAAAGCTTCTAATTATCTACAATTTTTTTAGTGGAATATTGTAATTATTTGTTATTGAAATAAAATTGATTTAATGAATAAGAACAGAAAAAAATGCATTGGGCATTTGGTGCTTAACAATTTGGTTGAATTTAGGGAATCTGTAACTTGTCCTACTTTAAACTAACAAACGTTCCACCTCTGTAGAATCGAAAAATGGGAGGAACTCTCAGGTACCAAAGCATTCTCACCCCATAGTTTGAATGTGGGAGATTGAACTTCTTTTATAATTTCATGGATTTATGAGGAGACATTCAAATTTTTAGGAAATCCATGTAATAAACTAAACCATTTGCAAGTGTGAATAATTTGAGGAAATGCTCAATTTGAAGTCACATAGGAATCTTTTCAAGCTACAGTGAAACCTGAGGTAAGCAGTAACTGACAGTTCCGGTAAAAATTGACAGTTTGTTAAGATGGTCGCTTGATTAAGGTTTTGAAGTCACTGGAAGCTTAAATCAAAACTAATTGTGCTAATTGCTGTAAAATAATGTGTTCTCTTGAACCTTTTTAATTATAATAAATGACAAAATACAATTTAAAAATTATTTTGGATCGTTTGCCTCCTTGGCTAATATCAACACACACCCTTGACTTGTCATTTCATTCTCATAGTCGAGAAACTCACTTGAAGATGCAATTCTTATTCTGTACAAACTTTACAGCAGGGACATTTGACGAAGGAGATGGCAAATGACCTTTACTTTGGATTTGGGCACAGTGTGTGCTCAGCGAGTCCTTGACACATTTCCACTGAATGCAATTATGTGTTGCAATAATAAACAACTTGAATGAAATTTGCCTGCAAGATAAAACTTTCATAGTCGTAATCAAAGTAATCAACGTCCTATTATAGGAATATGTTAAATGAACAGTAATGTCCACCTTTTTTTGCTTCTTGTTCAAAACTGTTTGTGGTTAACCACTAAAAGGTTGATGTAAAAGATGTGCCAGGTTGCTATGTCAGGTGATCATTGAAGAGAGGGAATATTTAAGCATATCTTATGAGAAAATCAATTGGGTCCACAAAAAAAATTGCCATTAGGATAGGTGGGCATTTGGGTAGGTTTCACTGCGCTTTCTTTCTTCTTTTTTTTTGACTGCCAGCATACAATGTGTTCTGTATACTCAAGATGGAGGCTGATGACTGGAGACTCATCAATTCGAAATCATGTAGTGAAGCACAACTGTGCCCTAAATGTATTTTAAGTTATAGGCACCATTTGGTTATTAGTCGTTCTAGATGTTCTCATGGTAATGACTCAAATAGAATTTTTATAATAACAAATATTTATGTTTTCCTCAATATAATCTGTATTTACATATCAGAGTTCATAATTGAATGATCCCTGATCTGTATAAACCCAGATTTTAATGTAGCTGTAAGGTTTGTTTGATTTTGAGTGATGTGTTGCAAATAAATTATTTGTCTAATGCACTTAATTTCTATTTAATGCGACAGTTCCAATTTGATACACTATTTTAACCAAAGAAAACTATTTACTATACTGTGATTTTTCCAACTTTACCCCCTAGCAGATATCAGCTTTTGGCAGTTTCATCCAATCGGGAGCTTTGACGTCACAAACATGACTGCCAACAGCTGATACCTGCCAGAGGCAGAGTTGGGAAAAATTACAATCCAAGTTTGGTAAATAAATTCTGAAATTTTCTTAATTTAGTTTACACACCTACATCTCCCAGTTGCTGTCTTACCACCATAAATGTTTATGTTCACTTTTTGTTATGTAAATATTACCAAGAAAACAAAGGTAGGAACTCACCCCAAAGAAGGAGGGGCACCAGAAACTCTGACTAGTGGTGGAGGTTGTGCCACAGCCATGGGATTAGGGTTTTGTGATGGGAGAGGCATGGGCACCGAAACCTGAAAGGAAAACATCATTCCTTTAGAAATTCACTAATTATTGTCTCTCAAATGTAAGAGCTCCATTCCACACAACTAATTACCTGTGGATAATACTGATGACCAGGCCTTGGACGCACAGGATTATATGATCGAGAAGTACTATTAACACTTGAACTGAGCTATAAGTGAAGAATTCTTAATTACTGCATGTAAATAGGAACAAAAAATTTTAAAATTTTAGTTTAGCAAGGTTATACCTATATTTATTTTAGAAACAAATATGCTAATGAAAACCAGAGTATGGAACAAAAAAACGTGCTACGGTCCTTCTACTCTCATGACATCATTAAAGTATAAATTAACAAAATCTCAAACTATTACTTTCCACTGAAAAATCTATAAATGAAAACACTCCCGAAGATTTCTAAAAATGTGAATCACAAACACCAAAATTTATTTCATTTGCACATCCAATTTAACCCTTTCAATGCTACACATTTGCACTGTGTGCTGCTCGCTGCTTCGAGAGTGAGCTCCTTGCTTGCAGAGAAGTCAAAATTCACATAAAAACTCTGAAATGCAGAGGAATATTAAAAAGTGAAAGAGTAGTTTTAAAAAGGGAAGAAAGGTGCCTTAGTTTATTTTCACTGGCTTTGGTCCAGGCAAAAAACTCGTTAACAAAAACGCACAGCATTGTGGCATATGAGCCATTAGCATTGCTGGCATGGACATCGCACATATCAAATGTGAGCAGCTAGTAGCAAAAGGGTTAAACGATCAATATTACGATTAAATTATTATTGTACATAGTGCAGTTATTACAACTTCATTTGCACATATCAATATAACCAAGTTCCAAATAACTCCAAATATCAACAGCAAATAAATTTTTTAAAAACTTACATTGTGCATAGGCAAAGGGGAGGCTTGCGTCATTCTAATGACTTGTGCTGGTTGAACCATACTTTGTTGATACGTTGATTGCCCTCCAACCAGTCCCGCTGCCCAACCATTACACATCGCCTGCACAGCTGCTGCACCAGCTGCAGCCAAATTTACAGATGGTGCTACAGGTGCAGGAGGGAGAGGTGCTGTCCTAGGCTGTGTGGAAGTTGGTGCAGCAGGGATTGTTTTGTTAGTGGCTGCTACTTGGTGGAGAGAAGACGAATTTGCTGCTGAATGTTGTTGCACTGGTGGGACATTAGGCTGCCTCGTCCACATTCCAGCACTAGCTGTCCCACCTTTACTAATAAGAAGCTGAGAATCTACCACTTTGCTCGGCCAGTAATCTTCAAACACTGTGCCAGGAGGAAAATAACTTTTAATATCGTTTAAACTAATAACTGAACAAGTTTCACTCGCAAATAATTCATTGCGTATCCCTTGCACTTTGCAACAAAATTTTAAATATGCCAAATCCCAGCCTTCCAACTTATCTGCTTTCAATTTTAGGTTTTCTGTTTCACCTTCAAAATAAAATAATGGAACATACTTAAAATTATCCCGCACAGTATAGGGCACAACTGATTCACCATTAATACGAATAAAGCCACACTTATCCTTTGGATTACTTGAACTATGTAACAGCTTATTGTAACAAACATCTAAAAAGTTATAAAACTCTCCAGCATCTTGAAGACGCACTACTAAGTCCTTGGTTGTGAAAGGTTCTCTCCCAAACTGCCCCTCACAATGTTTCACATTAATTTCATTCAACAACCTGGCTTCACTATCTGTTATATAATAACTGCGAATACATGTGCAGCTATAAATGTCAGAATGTAAATAACTCAGGTACTTGTTAAGAAGTTTCATTTCCACCATTCGCACTGCACAAAATTTTTCACTGTACCGGAAAATGAATGGAATATGACATTTTCCAAGCGTCACCCACCCAAATTTCCCACGTGCACTTTCTTCATCGCATGGTGGCTTTTTATCCCCATCTCCTGCGGGCACTGTTTTCTTATCCTTTTCTGCACTAGGTTTCCCTTGTGCTGCAGTTCGAGAAAAATAATTCATTATTCCCGGTTGCCCTGGTTGCACCAGATGTCCTGGAACTTGATTAGATTGGCCTGATTGAGCGGGTGGCCTGGCAGTTGTTGCCATCTTCGCTTTATTCGCTTCCACCATCTTTGCTGCCAATTCTCTGATTTCAGCCTCATCAGGTGTCTCTTTTTTTACTTGAACCGGAAGTACTGAAAAAATAAAAATAAGCTATAGTGATGTTTATAACTTCAAAATGTTAAATTCTTTGTCATATCTTAACACATGCATGTTGAATATAAACAACTTGTAAGCCCATAAAACATTCAAACACGAACACATGATAAAAGTTTCTTCCTAAAAAAAAACAAAAAAACTTTAAAATAATTACACTGATCTCTGATACCCTTTCAACAAATTCGACAATGAGGTCACTAGTTTAGTACAACCCACCTTGAAATTAACACATGGCCCATCAAAACAAAAACACAGCTGCCAATACAACAGAAGTTACCAATGCATTCTAGAATGATTCGATCAATAACCCTATTTGATATATTCATTCATATTTTCACAAATACAAAGTTATAGAAGCGTCAACTTGCGCACACCTTCCACGCCAATAATACTCATATAAAAACAAAACAAACGCCCAATCTCCAACTTGTGGTCTACAATAATCGAACGTCAACTTTCTATTGGATTAACTGAACCTTACCTCCCGTATTTGTTGTTGTCTCCGCATTATTTGATAAGGCGGCAACTGAGGATAACGCCATTATCCTTTCACGTTGCTACAGCCATGTAACAATTGAAATGAGCACGGCGCTCAGGCGTATGTACAATATGTGAAATACTCCATTAAATGATAAGATGTGCATTCGATCACATGTTCGAAGTGTTCAGTTTCCTTGGCCACAGAACATACGTAATGATGAAGTTCAGTTTCTTAAACTTTTTTGTCCTTATGTATTCAACGTCACACATTTCCAACCGCCGTTTGAAACCCGAAGGGAAATGCCCGACGTAGCCTCGCGTCAGGGGTCTCGATTTTCTCCATGCTAGTTTTTCTCCTCCTGTGACTCATTCCCGTCAAACGGCGGTTATTGCGTACCCGTAACCAATCACAGAGTGCCATGTGGCTGCAATAAAACAACCAAATCGTCACATGTGTGACGTCACTATAATTTCTCGGACCCTGTATGGAGGGTATGGCTTAAATTTCCAAGGTCTTCTGAAGAACCTTGAAACAACATAGCATGCAGTTATTGTTTTACAGAAAGCGAAATGCAAATGGGTATGTTTGTCTTCCATACCGTCGGACTGCTCTATTTTCGAATTTGAAATATTAAAAAAAATATATATATACTTCGGCACAATTAAGGAATGCAGATGTTGCAGAATGATGGACATATTGTTTAAACGTTGCATTCTGGACTCAACTACATATTTTCTATATTTGTCAATACTTGTTCCACAAACAGAATTTCAGAACCCGCAACACCTCACACCCACGCCAACGTAACGCAGGCAGATGTCGGCGAAAACGTCTCCCGCAGCATTGGAATATCGCCCTAATGTTCATGTGACCCAAGGTTCAAGATTTCCCACAGCGCAAACAATTTTCAACCTTATGCCAATGTTTCAAGGACAAAGGACGTTATTGCCAGTGAGTGCTTTCTAAAACGCTCATAGTGCAAATAAAGTGAGCTAGGCATGAATATTATATCATGTCCCTGTTTACGGTGCATTGTCTACCTTCATGGAATATTAAAGGATATATCATAAAAAATCTTTTCATCACAAACCTTTGGTGACAATATTTTTGCGAATGGAATTAGATTTTCAGTATGCACAATAGACCTACATTACCCCCTCACACAAGTATCATTGTGAAACCAGATGTAATCAATCTTCAAAATAGTAAATGAAACATCACTACAAACATTGGCAACAATGAATCAATCGATCGTATTTACTAGAGAGAATTGTCAAATATCATTTTGACGGCGGTAGCTCTGCCTGTCTCCCCTGCGTCTAGTTATAATTAGTTATTATGTCCAGAAACACGGACCTTTAGAATTACATGATGCACAAAATTAGCTCCGGTTATCCGAAAGTTAGGTTATGGGTCCTTGTCCATTAGTTAACATCTCAACCACACAGGATTACATTTTTTAAAAGTGTTTCGCAAATAAAGGCAGTAGGAGCGTGTTGTCTTGCTGTTCAACTCAAGTAATTGATTTTTCATTGGCTAGGTATTAAAAGGAAAAATGAAAAATGGTTCACTGCAGTGCGCGTTCATAAATCAGAGCATGTAACGCGAAACGCAGGGAATATGGCTTGAGTGGGGGAAGAACGATTACGTCACCTTAGATAGTATATGGAAGATTCATTGTAAAGATTATTGCCGCCAGGACGGCTCAACTGCATGTAGTCTTGCGTATGGTTCAAACTTCTAATCTCTGTACATATAATTTGTGATTTATACAAGCATTGGTTCGAACGCGCGTAATGGAGGAATGAATTGGGTATTCGCGATTTCCCGTAATGTGAAAGTCTGAAAACAGCATACATTGAAATAGGTTGAAAATGGACGCAACGATAATTCATTCAATGTAAATTGGAATTAAATTAATGTACATTTTCGTAGTATCATAAATTTATTTCGTGAAAACACCCTTAATCAATATCATATTGAATATCTACAAATTTGGTCGCGTTCATTCCGTCATGAAATAGTTTCATTAACGCAGCGTTATAATTAGAAGTGAAGGGAAAGCGTTTACCTCATTCTTGAAGGACTATACACTGAAAGATCTTCGATTCCTTGTTTTTTATGAAATAATTCCGTCGTTTTCCCTGTAATACTTCATTAAATCCGGCAATACATCTCGTTAAACTAAACAAATTATTAAGTGTGAGAAAAGTTCTCACTTCGGAAATTGATATCCTTATTACCCGGAAAGTTACTATGTAGGAAGAAAACAAAACGAACAGCACTTCTCCTAATACACGAGTTTAACGAAACAAAGAAACATTTGCTGGATTCGAAATTGTTTCAAGAATGAAATATTCGTCATTGTTGAAGAGAAGTACCGTCTTACAAAGGCATTAGGTTGAACTTTTAGGTGGCCTTGTTATATAGTCAGTTTTTGAGTGATCCCTAATTCTAGCTGGTTTACGAGTATTTCTTTGTAAAGTGGCATATTGGGCTTGATCGCGGATGCAAATTGCAGCCGTAAATTGTACGGGTAAAACAATTTTGAAAGCAGAATGTAATATTTTAAAAAACAACGGCCTTTTGCAAATTAAAGCTTAGCTATTGCCATTCCACAGTCTGTTATTTTTAACATCTTAAAATCTCAATTGCATTTCACAATTTATTTTTTGGTTTATTTCTATTACATGGAACAATTAAGTACTAAAACCACTTGAAGAGCTTTTCTGTAAAACCATTGTAAAACTTTTAAAACAGGAAAGGCAACAATGACATCTTTAATTTTATTGCTATCAAAGTAAGAGAATATACATAAAACTGACTAAAATGAAAATAAATGTTTTCCAATAATCCAATATTTTATATTTTCACATATACAATTATGTTGACCTATAGAGTCTCTTGTGATTTCAATTGTAAACAATGAGTAAGATTAACTGCTTAACTTGAATATATCAAAATATTAAAGAATATATTGTACAAATATTAATAAAATACTCATGTTAAGCACTAAACAATAGCAAATTGTGTCAAAAGTTACAAGAAAAAGAGAGATTCTAGCCAGGATCTCTACTTCAGTTTTGTAGCACCTGGAGTCAGGTTACGTATATGAATCATAGCAATATTCACTTACACTTTCGAATAGTTTTTGCAAGAGGATTTGTAAAAGTTTTATTTTAGATTCTTCAGTTTTGTGAAAAATCTGATGATGTTTGTTTGTTCTTGGGTGTGATGGTTGATGGGGGGAGGGGGGGTATATAATGCTTGCCTTTTCTTGTATGGATTTAAAATGTAGTAGTAGTAGTAGTAGAATTCATAATTGTCTGGATTATTCTTTTCTGTATCCTGAAGGGTTGTTGCCAACGGTGCATTGTCTAAATGGTTCTTATAGAGATGATCAAGGTATGTAATTAAGAGGTTATTAATCATTGCTTCATCAAATTGCCTTGTTCAGTACATTTATGTTTCACATATATACATATTTTTATTTATTTTTTCTCTACCTGAATCGAATCTGGAATAAAGATGTAATGGTGTTGAACTTACATTGATAAATTTACATCTACAAATACCCTTTGAAGGCATTACCAACTTCAAGTATTTAGGAACTCTTAATACTTATAATTGAAATGTCATGACAAATAGCATGAAAGAACAGGTAAAGGCAGGAGTTAAAGCATATTGTGTAAAGGAGCAAATGTTAAGAAATAAATCAATAAGCTGAAAATGAAAAAGAAAATTCATAAAATTATCTTTTGACCTATGGGGAAAAGGCTCGGACATTAACAATAAAGAATGTAAACGAGCTAACACAATTTGAAAGTACAGTTATAAGAAATATATATGGATATATTAAGGAACAAGATGTACACACCATGAAATTGTTATTATCTTGAAAGGAAAAAAAGTTGTAAGATTCAAGTAGTCTCAAAAGATTAGATGGTTGGGACACAGAAAGGATGTCAAAATCAAGAAGGCCTAAAACAAAATTGAAGGGTTAGTTCTTAAAACAGAAGAAAGGCTGTGCAAAACAGATGGATGCAAAACCTGAACATCATTGTTGTGAAAAACTGGAAGAAAATTTTGCAAGGTCAAAAATGGAACAGTGCTCTAAGTGAAGGGCTTTACAGCTAGCAAAAGAGATAATGTCTATAAATTATATAAAAAATACTGAATTCATGTGAATTCCAACATTGTACAAAAAATATTTAAATTGTCCTCTAGAATCCATCTTATCTTTTAATTGCATTTTCTTCAAGTTTATGAAATGTTCTTCACATTATTCTTGCTTGTAACCTAAGAGTAATGTTAACAGACATTTCATTCACTTGTTTTCTGCAACTTCCAAACATTTTTTAAAATTCCTACAAAAGAAATATGTATTTCATTCCCTTTAATATTAAATATAAGAAATAATATATAAAATAAAATAAAAATATATTACTATCTCTTTTGGAATAACAAATGGTTTGTTTTCCAATCTAATATTTGACAGATTTTTTTGTGTGAATAAAATACAAAATTCAGTTCAATATTAATCTGCTTAATTTCAGATACATTATTGTTTTAATTATTATAGCTTGATTTCTAAGAGAGATCAATAGTGGAAAACTAGTTTTCAAGAATAAATTAAACATAACACTACATTGATTGACAGCAATGACTGAACATAAATACAGAAGAAATGCCAGAAATAACAACTTTATTTCAAAGAAATTCTTCATATACATAACAATTAACAAGTAAAAAAAAGTGGTGAAACTCCTTGAGACTAGAACATTGCATGATGTAGTTTATCATTGGGTTCTGCACCAATCTGAAACAAAATTGAAAGCAGACAATTACTTACAAAAAATAAATTTACCAGATACAATAACTGAACATTCATTTTTAACTACAGAATGTTAAGGTTTTCAATGACGATAATTTTGTTTTTCACTAGAGCTTTTATCCAGCCAGTTACTCATAACATTCTGATAGGATGCATATTTGACACATACATACACCAACACATTTGCATTCTCGTCTGATCTGGGGTCAGATGAACACAAGGCCGTCCATGACAACACATACATGAAAAACAAGGGACAAGCAACCGTGCCCAAGGCAGGACTCGCATGCATGACCCTTCATACCGCACATAGTTGGTATTAGCCATTTCGACTAGAAGCAAAATTTAATGACAAAAATGAAATACATCTTTGAAGAAACTGAACCTCCAAAGTGAAAATGTTTTTAGAAACTAAAACACATTTTTAAAAAATTAAAAAAAAAAAATAAAATAAAATAAAAAATGTCCTCAATCACTAATAGTCCTTGATATGCTGATATTCTAGAAGTGTGTTGAAAACTAGTGATATCAACAATGAAATATAGCGTAAATAACAATCTTCCCATTTCAACAGAATTTGAAGAATGGTCAAATTGGAATAAAATATAGTATTTTGATGTTGATTAATGTATATGGTTATAATTTGAAAATATTCCATAAATATATAGTAAGCAAATGCTCCGGGGCTCATGAAACAAAAGCTGAAATGATCAGAAAAACAATATCCTTTCAAAAAATCGCTAGTCTACAAAGCACAGGGAGGCAACGGTACACAAAAAATGAATTGAATTTATTAATACATAATTTAGAAACCCTAACAACTAAACATTAAACACATACAATATTTTAGAAATATTTGAAGTTTGAGTACAAAAATAAGTTAAAAATAAAATGCATCTTAAAAGGCAATTTAATCAATATACAAGTAACTATCTCGATATGCATTACTTAATAATGCATGCATATATGTATAAATTGCAAATGATTACTTTTCGGCTAATCTAACTAGTTCGTGGGGTTCCTTTTGAATTTAATAATTTGTGACCTTTATGTCAATAAATAGGCTAAATCAGGTCTTGCAAACACAAAATGTCCGATATTTCTAATATATTAAAAACAAAATTGAACACTGAATCATACTTTTTATTTTTTAACAATTGAATTCATATAAATATGAATATTGCACCTTACATAACACACACACGCAAAGTTGCCAGACTTAAAGATTTGAAACGTCCCGTTTTGTTCGCCACCACCGTCCCGTTTTTTTTTTTTTTTTTTTTTTTTTTTTTTTTTTTTTTTTTTTTTTTTGAAAAATAGTGAAATTGTATTTTTTTTATTTTTATTTTTTATTTATTTTTTGTTTTGTTTTTGTTTCCGGGTGTTGTTAGACCCAAAGACGACACATGTTCCTCCATTTATGTCGATACTATAAATCAGAATGTGATGCCAGAATTGTGCCATTACCCTCAAGTTTTTTAAATTGCGAAAAAACACCGTGAAATTATAAATTTGTGTGGCAAGAAACCCTGAAAAAAAATTGTGGTGCTACTACAGCACGTACTTTCTCGCGATATTCCTAATAGCTATGTAATATTATAACATGACAATTTCTGTCATACTTTTCAACTACTATTTGAAAAATTCTTAAACAAATGAAGCGTGAAAATACATATATTTTTTTAAAATTAAAATGTTTAAGCGACAACAGCTTTTTACCGTTGAATTCAGTGTATTCACGTTCTACATAAATGTACCAACGATGCACAATGCGTAATTATCGCCATCTGTTGTCAGTGCGGCGTTAAACAATGTGAAATAATCAACAATGACTGCTAATTTTAAAAAATGCTTTCAGGTGTACAGCTGCTTTTTCAACGGGTTTGGATACATTCGATACAGAGTTAATGAACCGAGTTATATTTTGAATCCATTATTGCTTTAAAATTATTTCGAGGAGATACTTATGGGTCGGATTTAGGGTGGATCAAAATTATCTGAGTAGTTTTCTGCGGATGCGTGCTGTTTGGTTTTTGTTTCCCTAATTGGAAGTGGAGCGCTTTTTAGAATTGAAGGAATTTTGTAAAAAAAATTAAGGGCAGATTATTTAATGGGGTGTATGCCGAGCTCGTGATGAAGGAGATAATTAGGTATGGACTCAGGTGCTTTGGTTATGGCCCTTAGGAAACGATTTTCAAACGTCTGGAGTATTAGGAAGTGACATTTGGCTGCTAAGCCCCAAATAGGACTTGTGTATGTTAGCAATGGTCTGATTATAGCTTTGTAAAGATGGGTACCGGTTTGAATTTGGAAGGAAGAATATCGATATAGTATTAGGACGACCTGGTGAGTTCTTTGTGTGGCTAGGGCAAGTTTATGGTGGATGTGCGGTTTCCGAGTTAGTCGTCGATGGAAGAAGACGCAGAGTTTTTTGAATGGTGTGTTCGAAGGTAACCCAGGGACGGGCGTGGATTTGTATGGTACCGGCGGAGGTAAGGGGGGTCTGCGTAGAGAGAAGAGTTTGGTTTGGAATTTGGTAGGATTGAATTTGATAAACCATTTGCTGGCCCATTCAGAGATTTGATCTATATGGTTTTGAACATCTAGGGTTGCGATATCCAGCACTTTGTTCGTTGAATACACAGCATGGTCATCGGCAGAAAGCGAGGAGGGTGTTTGGATTGGTCGGTACGTCATAAGTAACAATAATGAAGCGATTTGGAGCTATGAGAGAGCCTTGAGGTACATCTGCTAAGATATGAGCGGGGGCAGAGCGTCCGTCAGTTAAACGTATGGAGAAGGACCTGTTTTTGAGGAAGCTTTTAAATAGAGGCATAAGATACTGTAGGATACCTTATTTAAACCTCGCAACCATCCCACCCAATGATATGTCCCCGGCTCCCCCAGCTGATCCGATTGGTTTCCCAATTAGTGAAAGAATCACTCCCATTCATCCTGAAAAATCTTCTTCCTACAATCATCAACTCCATAGTTAAATCCATATGTTCTCCAAACTCCACCTTAAACATGCATCCAAAGCCACCGTTTATTATCCTTTCTTGGAATGTCAATGGAATACAATCAAATAGCCTTCTCCTTAGTCAATTTATCCACGCCAATCACATACGAGTATTTATACTCTGTATTCAAGAAATACATCTAATTCCATCCAACGGAATCTACATACCAGGATACATAACCTACCGCGAAGACAGACCACGAAAACGAGCCAGCGGTGGTGTAGCCATATTCATTAAGCAAAATATATCACATTACCAAATTCCTTCTATACCGAACTCTCCCTTCGAAAATGTTCGAATCACTGTCAAATAATCCTCAGATGCACTTATCAACATCACATCCATTTACAAACCACCAAATGTACCTTCTTAGTTAACCGGCGCAATTCGCAACCAAGACTCGTCGCGACTTTTATGCCAAGCATACAGCTTTGGGTACAGGATAGCAACCTCATTACTCCTGCACGCATCACGACATAATTAACCTAAGTTTACATATCCACGTCACCTTCTCTCCAACTCACTACCCATCCTTACCTAACCAATTACACGACAGAATTGATTTCGGATAATCGTTATACCTCCAATCAACCATAGCAATGAAAACCCACATTGCGCTACCCTCCGATCATCGCCCAATTATCTTCAGACTAGGACTTTCAACTTCAATTAAAACCCTCTTCCCCTTCAACCTAATAGCATTAACTGGCACCACGTCCAATCACAAGCGGACGTCTTATAGATATTGCGTTATAGTAATAACTACTCGATGAATTTCTTGAACTGTCGGATGCCCTTCTCTAAATCCATATTGGAAGTCCGGAGTTATATTACTGGGTTGAGGCTTAAGGCGCTTCAATAAAAGGTTTTCGAAAACTTTTGACAGGTCTGGTTATTTGGGTGTACTTCCATTGACTTGGATAGTGACTATTTCGGAGCGTTGCATTAAATATTAACATTATAAAAGCAAGGCATTCCTTCGGTAGTTCTTGTATCTTGCCTGTAATGAGATCGTAACCTGGACTTTAATCGGGATTTGTATGTCTTTTAATAGTTTCTTCTATTTCTTGTGAGTTAAAAAAATCGATAGTAAGTGATAGCTGAAGAGGTTAATTTAAAAAGCCCAATACTTCATTTTTAGTTGTACTTGTTTTTTCTGCTGGTTTAAAAACCTAAGTGAAGTGTTTTGCAAAACATTCTGCTTTTTCTTCTGCGCTTCGTGCAGAAAAAAAACATCAGTTCAACGGATTCGAGGAATGTGTTGCTGCGGACGTTTCCATTTTATTATTTTCCACAGAGCAGTTGTTAAGAGATTCAATTTAGTTACTTAGAATCACATTTTACTCTCTGGCATTCCGATGGGAGAGAGCGGCGAGTACGTTTGACGATTCCGATGCGGAGGCTGCTGGCAAGCGTATCCAGGTACAGACGGAGCCGCGTGCAGGGTAGCGGCCTCGCGCGAGGCCGTCGCCGCTAGACGCCGCTGCACTGCCGGCCAGGCCGCACGACGGCCAATGACCGCCAGAGCGCCCGGGCTGGGGCTAGGGCCTGCGACAGGCAGTGACGCGCGGGTCGCTGCGGTGGGTCACCGTCGCCCGCTGCTCCGCCCGCCCTTCGGGGGTGAGGGACCGAACGCCCGGACACCGACCCGAGAGGGCATGGCAACTAGGTTACGTCAATTACTTCTGCAATCAGAGGCCCCGCCTCAAATATGCAAGCAAAATTAAAATTCATATCTGTTAACCAACTCACGGTGTGTTTCAATGCAGTGGTGCATGAAGAAGGCGGCCACGCACGCGCCCCATCGTCACTTCAGGTTGAGCACCGGGGCAGTGCTGTAGACCACGTGAATCGGGTCACCCTGCGATTCAACGGATTCCACGCACAGTTGTCGCAGTGCCAGTTGCGGTCAAAGAAAATATTGATATTAAAAAATATGAAAGCGGGGCAGAGTGTTACAATATC